GTTGGGGGTGGGGGGTGGGGGGTGTCCAGCCCAGGAATGTACATGTTCGCACATGGATATGATGCATAACCAAATTTCTACCTTGATGCCTTTTTTCACAATCAAAACCTTTAGTATTAAAATTTCTTCATAATCGTAGAGGACAGGTTACAAAGCAGTTTCACACACATGAACTCATCTGATTCTCACCGCAGGCCTGGAGGGAGGCAGCCTTCGTTATTATCCCCATTTTTCAGACAAGGAGAAAGAGACTGAAGAAGCATAGGAAACTTGCTCCAGGTCACATGACAGGATGTTTGGACCACCCTTGTTATCAGTGGTGGGTCTTGTTTTGAATTTCTTTCCGGGTCATCTCTCCAGCCGGTGAAGGGCCTGATGGTATTTGTAGGGACGAAATAATGATAGCAGACAGGTAGAGATGGACGAGGATTCTTGCACACAAGCTTCCGGTAGGGCCCCTAACCAAGTCGTGATCATTTTTTAAATATCAGAGATGCAAGGCTGTAACAAGAAAGCATTTGCATTCGGAAGAAATACAATTAGGAGTTTTTATTCTATCACGTAATCTGAGCCCTAGATGACATCTCATTTATTTTGAGTGTCATTGAACAAATAGTATTCGAGTATTATATTTGTGTGTTGTGAACAAATTCTACTTTGGCTGGAAAAATGAAGACAATTCAAAGTTATGTGGGGATCAAGTTCAAATATAAGGTAGTTGAGGTCTTCAAAGCTCTACCTGTCTACTTCCATTCGTTCAGACTGAACGAGACTTAGTTAATTATATGAAATTCTTGGGGGGGTCTTGTCACATATTAAGGTTTATACTATTAGTCTCTAGACCTACTGCTGACCATGCCTTTAAGGCATAACAATGTATTCTGGAACAGCTAGGTAAAATAAACTCTCTCCATTCTTACTGCTGTGTGGGAGAGTGATGAATGGCAAATATTAATCCTAATGACAAAGTGGAAAATTAAGGCACAGAGCAATTGGGTAATTTGCTTCCTGCTTCCAAACCAGTCTAAAAGACAAGCGAATAATTTATTCTTTTCATCAACAAATAATTGTCAATGTATACTGGTACATTGACTGGTTATGGGCACAGATTTGGGAGTTGAACTGTTTGGGATTGAATTCACATTCTACAGTTTATCACCAGTTTATCTGGACATAGTACTTATCCTATAAGCCTCCTCTGTCAAATGGAATATAGTTATGGTAATAA